CTGCCTCCATCAGCAATGTTGCCCACAGCTGAAGGCCCTCATTTCCCCACCTGCTAACCACTTTCGGACAGAAAATGCAGGTTCAGTCAGAAGTACTTAAGCAGCTCAGGACAGGTTCACCTTCTCCACACAATGACAACTAGAACACTGCCTCTCTGCCTCACTGCCTCTGGTGCCTGTCCATTTGGTTCTGTAACATTCTTGCACGTTATCATAGCTCTAAGAGTTGAGAAAACTGAGCACAGACCTTAGTAGCAACCAGAGGCCCATGCATAGTGGTTGGGAGGTCGGGGATGGTGGTGGGGTGGCCTCAGTGTCCTACCTTGTAGTCGAGAGTTCACACACCTGTGCTCTTTTCTTTTCCTGAATTCCTCTCTCTATTTTCAGCACTCTAGAAAGAAAGAGGGGGGTGGGGGGAGAGAAGAAGGAAAGAAGGAAAAAGGGGAGACAAGGAGGGAGAGAGGGAAGAAGGGAGAGAGGAAAAAGGTTTTACTAGTAAGAATAGTTCTCTCATCAGACATTTTGGTTTACTTTTTCTGTTTTTTTCAGATACTGGTCCTTTTTGAGAAGGAGAAACTAGAGAATTCACATAGCTGGACTTTAGGATTCATTGTAATGAGAGAAATCAATATCCTTCAGTCAAAGACTTACAGCCCTCTGTCTGTATTCTGTATTTTTTCACGTTAGAGTTAAATTTCAGGGGCCTTTTGGGAGCAACCTTTGGGCAGACTTTCTGATAGTTTTTTGTTTTGTTTTTGTTTTATAAATTTGTATTTGGCTCGCTATAGTTCACTGTATCAAACAAGGAATAACCTTGGCCTAGTTGGGAACTGGTAAATTCTAAAAATGCTAGTGTTTGTCTATATTTGACCCCTCAGCCCTCCAGTCTGTCTTCCTCTTTTTAAGTTATAAGAATGAGGTGCAATTAGCATCTATCAATCTTAGTATACTAACATTTACTTATTATTTATTATTCTATTTTCCTAACTTTTGGAGATCCAATTTTTTTTTTTAAATATATTTTTTAAGATTTCAGAGAGAAATGGAGAAAGATAGAAACATCGATGATGAGAGAGAATCTGACTGGCTGCCTCCTGCATGCCCCCTACTGGAAATGGAGCCTGCCACGCAGGCATGTGCCCTTGATCAGAATCGAGCCAGGGACCCTTCAGTCCACAGGCCAACTCTCTATCAACTGAGCCAAATTTGCCAGGGCAAGAACCAATTGTTTATCTTCAAAGATAGAAGAGGAAGATTAAAACAATAATTTTCAGTAAGTACTCTTTCAGCTATTAATTGACTTATTCAACATATTTTATTTAGTGCCTGCTATAGGCCAGGCACCCGGCTGGGTAAGATAGGATCCCTGCCTACAAGTGGTACAGTTCAGTAGGACAGGCAGACACATAACTGGCTAATCATAATTGTTAACACAGTAATTAATATACAGAATGTTATGGGATCACAGAAGAAAGGCACTTCACCTACCCCAGAGAGGATCAAGGTAGGCTTCAGGAAAGCCATAAACTTTATTATTGAAGATCTGTGATTCATTTGCCTTAATTGCGCATGGAAGTGTTTGGGCTTTTGAATTAGACAAGTCTGTAATTTGGAAGAAGACATCCACTAACTCTAAAGTAAAATATATGCCAAATTTGTAGCTAATGATTCGTTTTGAAGAAGGGAAGGATCTAATATAAATAAGTGACCATCAAGGGTAGGAGTAGAGCTAGAAGTTGTTGGGTTTATTTAAAAGTTTCTTTCCTTTTTATGTCCCTCCCTGCCCATATCATAGAAAAACAAACATGAGAAATGTGCCTATAAGTAGAGGTTTTTATATTCTTCTTTCTGACCTGGCCTCTGTTACACTTGGGAATAAATAAAGGCACCATCAGTATTGGTAGATTGGTTGAAGATTAGTGCTGTTTGAGGCTAGAATTAAAAAAAAAAAAAAAAAAAAAAAAAAAAAAAAGCTTAATTAGTTTTGCAATCACTGCTCTTATGTAAAATTAAGTATGAGGAAAAACTCAATGTTAACTGCATTTGAGGTTTTCTAAGTCATGGATTTGAAAGGGATCTGCATAATAATTTTAAATCTTTGAAAAAAAAGTTTAATCTTTACAACAGCCCTATGATCACCTCTACTTTATAGTTGGGAGAATTGAAGCACAAAGAAGTTTTAAAAAAAAAACTTGCCTAACGGCTAGTAAGTAGCAGAGCTAGAATTTGAACCCAGCTCTATTTAAATCTAGTTGTCTATTATTCATTGTGACAGCCTGCTGAAATAGAAATCTGTGTGGTTTCACTACCTGTGTTGTTCTGTGACTCTAAACTTACCCTAGCAGGAGTAAGCTATTATAGACAATTGGTAAAAGTATGTGGTTGGGCCAGTGCAAATCTAACACTGCTTCTGGAAAATATTGGTAGCGTGCTATCTTTAAGTAATAGTCAAGTTTTGATGTCATGGGTATCATTTAAAGTGGTAGTCGGCAAATCTCAGAGGAAAAGGGGTGGGGGCTGGAAGAGGTTAACCAAAGAATTTGTATGCACATACCCATAACCCATGGTCACAGACAATAGCGTGGTAAAGGCCTCGGGAGGGGTGGGAGTGGGTTGAGAGGGTCAATGAGGGGGGGGAGAATGGGACATATGTAATACTTTCAACAATAAAGACAAGTTTAAAAAAACAAAGAACAAAAAAAAAGTGTCACTCAGTGTCATTAATATTTTGTAATATGGGGATTGAAATGGTAAAACAGAATTGAAATATCTAGATTTAAAACATGATTAGTGAAGTTCAGTAGATAAGAGTAAATATATATGAAAATAGCAATATAAATGTTAACGTTAGATTTTACTTTCTTCCCTGAGTGTGCATTATATTATTTTATATATTATTTAATGTATAAATATATACACTTTTTCATGTGCATGTATTGTGTATTATCTATTCATCAAAACTATAATCCCTAAGATCAATCATGTATTTAAAAAAGGAATAAACATTAAAATCACAGGTCAGGGAAGGTTATCCAAGCTGATTCTCAAAAACCTTAATAAATTAGAGCAAATACATTATGTTATGGAAGCAGGTACATGGATGCACTAAGTGGATATAAGAAATAAAAAGATCATAATAAAGTGATTAGTTTAACTTAGATCTATTACAGCAATTTTCAACTGGTGTGCCACAAGAATTTTCTTAACACATGCAATACCTGACTATTTCATCAGGGGCACTGACCTCTTTTCCTTTAGATTAGGGGTGTCGAACTCAATCAGAGAAGGGTCCAAAATCTAAAATCCAGCCTAAATCGGGGGCCGAATGGTTTACTGAACAGTCATAAACTGTCATTGTGATGGAAACGCAGTGGAGTGCAGTGATGACAACGCGGTGCGGGCCACATTGCAAGGCCTGGCGGGACGGATTTGGCCCGCGGGCCTTGTGTTTGACACATGTGCTTTAGATTGTCAAATTAAAAAAAAAAAAAAAAGTGACAACAGCCATCTTGTGTAAATGAATCAAAATTTTTCCTATTTTGTTGTCAGATCAGCAAAAGATGTATTTTTTGTTGTTCCACGGAATTTTAGTAATTAGTTTATGTGTGCCGTGAGATGAAAAAGGTTAAAACTCGCTATTCTATTACATTAGGGGAAACTGGCTGGTGGATTTAAAAGTGTATACTCATAGCATTAGATAGAGGGTGAAGGGGGAATTCTGTTGTAACTGAAGAGGGGTGTGGTCTGCTCAGGCTAAGGAGGACTAGATAACAGTTTCTTAAAGCACTGACAGATGTGCATGGTCTTCAGAAATGGCTGATATCGCTAACACATTTTCTTTACAAACATAATAACTGTGTCTGTTACTGCCAGCCAGTTTAGTTAAGCTAGAGAAAGCACAGCCTGTGGATTTGGGCATGCGGACCCTGTGCCTCCATCTAGTCCTCCAGGTAACCATATCCCTACAGCTCCTGTAATCCTAGAGCAGGTACATGGATGCACTAAGTGGTGTAATGGGAGGGGGAGATAGCATCACAAGGATTCGTTTGATTATAACAGTAATCCACACCAAGTCAAATAAAATAGCCAAACAGTTAAAAACGTGGTCTCTAATGAATTTGCTAATTCTAGCAGGCCCTCGCAAACATTTCCTTCCGGAGTGCCCCATATCAAAACGAAATAGCTGTGCTTTAATTACATGGAATAATTATTCGATTTCCAGGAAGTTAAGACAGTGCTTTGTATTTAAATAAAAAGTTCTAGACACGCTGTGAAACTCGATCAAACCAGCAAAAAAGGCGAAACCAAATGCCTATGCTGTGAGTCAAGATTTCAGCTGCTCAGCAAGCCTGACGTTACGGTTTATAAGCCCAGAAAAAGGGGCATTTTAAAACCGGCCGACCGGATCATGTCACTTTCTTATAGGAAAAGCCTTGCCTTTGCAGAGATCTAGTGTAATGCAACCACGTGCTGTTGAGGGGCCTCAATCTTGCTGCCTTCCCCCCTCTGCACTGGCAGGAGCCCCAGTTTTCAGGGGAGGCAACCTCAAACTGTCGCCCTCACTTTTGAGGATCTTCTAAAATTCTGGGGTACCTTATCTCAATGGCTCTGCCAGCGAGTTTGGGGTAGGGAGGGCGGGGGGAGGCCTGTGGGTGTCTGTTTTGCCCGAGGAGTTGGAGAGTCTCGTGGAGAAGTCAGGCCCGGGCCGCTCTGGCGGCCGCTCCGGCGTGGAGCCCGCTCGGGTTAGACACATGCACACACTCCATAGAGCTCGCTTTCCCGTAGCAGCAGCTGCCTCTGCCTCTGCCTCTCCCGCCTCAGCCTCCTTGCCCGGCATCCACACACATTCAGATTTGCGCGCTGTTTCAATCCTTGATGACGTGTCCCCGGAGACAGCCAATAGCCGACGGGCTCTGGTCAGGACAATGGGAGGGAGCGGACCAATGGCCGGGCCCCGTGAGTTGGCGGTAGCCAATAGGAGGCGCTCTGGCTGGAGAGTAATGTTACAGAGCGGAGAGAGTGAGGAGGCTGCGTCTGGCTCCCGCTCTCACAGCCATTGCAGTGCATTGAGCTCCATAGAGACAGCGCCGGGGCAAGTGCGAGCCGGCCGGGCACGGGGTGACTGTGTGCTCGCCGAGGGTGAGTGCGGGCAGCGCCGCGGCGGGAAGGGCGCCTCCGGCAGCGCCCGGCTCGCGCGGCGGCGGGATCCGGCGGCCGCTCCGAGCGGTGGGTCGGGATCCACACAAAGGCGGATGAGGGGGGACGGGGGGGAACTGCGCACGGAGCGAGCCCGGGGCTCCGAGCTCTGCCCCGCGCCGGACCCCGGCAGCCGAGCGCCGGAGCCCCGCGCCCGTGCCGCCCGCCGCCGGCGCCCGCGCTGACTGGCGCAAAATAGACATTTTTATGGGAAACATTTTTAACGTGTTTTCAGCCCCCCGAGCCGAGCGTTCGGGCGGCTGCCGTGCGCGGGGTCGAAGGGGCCGCCGCGGGGAGGCGGGCGGCGGCGCCTCCTCGGGCTGCATCGCCGCCGCAGAGCCGGGCGCGGACGGGCGGCGCGGTGGGCCCGGCGGCCTGCGCCCGGGCGGCGGCGCGGCGGGGGGGGGAGCGGCGCCCTGCGCCCGCTGGAACATGGCTGACTCGCCCGGCGCTGCCGGCGGGGAGAAAACAAGGCGGCGGGCGGGCGGGGGAGCGGGGCGCGCAGTTCCGAGGCAACTTTTTTTCGTCTCCGCTCCCAGCCCCGTGGCCGCCGTGCGGGGGTGGCGGCGCGCGGGCCGCGGAGGGAGACGGGCGCGGCGCGGGGGGAGGGGAGGAGGAGGGAGGGTCCGGCGCGCGCCCCCCGCCCCTCCCCCCGGCCGCAATGGCCGAGCGTGCGCCGGAGCGCGCCGCCACCCCGCCCGCCCGCCCGCGCTCACACACACTCACTCCCTCACACGCACACACACACATACACACACAAAGGGAAGGAGCCATGTTCGCGCTCGCCCTCGCGGCGGCGCAGGCGGGGAAGACGCGCAGCGGCCATTCCGTGCGCGCCGGGCCGGCGGCCGCGGGCGGAGCCAGCCCCCATTTCGAGCGGGGCTGCTCCCTCTCGAGCCCGACAAAATGGGGGCGGCGGGCGCACGTGGCGGGCCGGGCCCGCGCCGCCGCCCCCGGGCTCCGGGGGGCAAATGGCGGGAAGGAGTGTGGGGCCCGGCGCCGGGAGCCCGCTCCGCGTGGCGCCTCAACTTTGACGGACAAAAAAAACACGGTGTGGGGGCGGGGGTCAGCCGGGGCAGGAGTGGCTTTTGTCCCTCATCCGTGTTTACTCAGAAACTTAAGACCGGACGTGTTAGGTCAGAACCGAAATTCGTCTCGGGGCCAAGCCGGTGGGAACGGCGCTGCCTCGCGTGCGGAGGAGCCGCGCAGACCCCGCCGCCGCCCCGCAAAGTTTGTGCCTTTGCCGCGCGGGCGGTTGTCGGGACCCAGGAACTTAAGGCCCGTTCCTGCGGGGCCTCTTCCCACCCCTTCGGGTCTTACCCCTTTACTCCTTAGGTGTGCCAGCCCCCAAATCCACACGTTAGTTTTCTGACGTCTTCTTGATTTTTAAATGGTTTTATACGTTTACAGAAATTTAAATGCCCGTTGAGGTATTCATTCCGAACAAATGAGTAACAAATACTATGAGTGTAGCTTTGTGCCTACACTTTTTGAGATCACACCAAAGGACCGTTTTCTGCTTGGTGCTGCCTCTTCTAGGAATTGCCTATCACTCCCAGCTTTTGGTTTGGTATCAGGGACGCCGATGTCACTCCTGTGCTAAGTAACCGGGACCTTGGGTTTCACACACACCCCAAGAAGGCAGAGTGCTCTGAAATGTCAGTTTCATTGCTCACATCAAGCATTGTTTTATTTTTTAAGGAAAGTAATTAAACATGGGCAAAGGAGATCCCAAGAAGCCGAGAGGCAAAATGTCATCCTATGCTTTCTTTGTGCAAACTTGCCGGGAGGAACACAAGAAGAAGCACCCGGATGCTTCAGTCAACTTCTCAGAGTTTTCTAAGAAGTGCTCAGAGAGGTGGAAGGTAAGGCTTAAAACACACAAAAAAGTGGAGCCTATGGCCATTTGCATACTGAGTGGTAATGTTAGAACAGGCAATAAATCACTGGTTTTATTCATTTTAATACTTCTGAGGATAATTTATTAAAATTTTTATCAGCTGAAAGTTTACAAATTCTTTTATAGACCATGTCTGCTAAGGAGAAAGGAAAATTTGAAGACATGGCAAAGGCGGACAAGGCTCGTTATGAGAGAGAAATGAAAACTTATATTCCTCCTAAAGGGGAAACAAAAAAGAAATTCAAGGATCCCAATGCACCCAAGAGGCCTCCGTAAGTATCTTGGCCATTTAAGAAGTGTTTTGCAGTAAAATCACAAATTCAGCAAGCCACCTTATGAGTTTGGAGTGTATAAGCAAAGTTTCTTCGCTAATCGTGGCTCACATTGGCATATTTAAATGTTGTAAGTAAAATTCCTGTGGGATGGGAGTTTGGCCAGAGCATTTGAACTTGGTATTTGCTTTCTTCTCCCAGTATATTTTGTAAGTGTTGTTTTGAGTCTTTTTTGAGAAATATCTGAAATACTTAATTTGTAGAGTGTCTTTTTGGATCTTTAACATTAATATTAATAGTGTCTGTTCAACTGGTAGTGTCATGTTAAAAAAATGTAAATCAAGCTTTGGTTATGAAGGATAATTAGCATTTTATGATATTTGTACCCTATCCAATGTCTGCTAGAAACTAGAAGCAGTTTTTTTATATGGCAATACACTACACATTTGATAGTAAACTTCTAAAATGAAATTTCTCTTTGTAGTTCGGCCTTTTTCTTGTTCTGTTCTGAGTATCGCCCAAAAATCAAAGGAGAACATCCTGGCCTATCCATTGGTGATGTTGCAAAGAAGCTGGGAGAGATGTGGAATAACACTGCTGCAGATGACAAGCAGCCTTATGAAAAGAAGGCTGCTAAGCTGAAGGAGAAATATGAAAAGGTAAGGAGTATAGATTTGCTTGGTGGAATTAGGTGATCTTAATTTCTTAAGAGTTTGTAAAAATTTGAGGTATAATGCGTTGTTTTTTTTTTGTTAGTATAACAGCATGTTTAGTATATTCACTGGATATGATCCTAAGTCCTTTTCCATCTTTTAAATTTGTAGAATATGAAATTATACTGGAAATGTCTTGGGGTTTTTTGTTTGTTTTTACTTTATATTATTTGTATTGGGCTGAGGCTGTGCATTTAAGCTGGGTTTGTTATTCCCCAATATCTCCAAATATATTGGAGTTTTGGTAGTTACTTTGAGTCAGGTGATTAGTTGTTTTAAATGGTCTTAAGTACACAATTTAAAAGGAGGCTGAACAAAAATAATATAGTCTTCTTCATAAACATGCCCTGAAACATTTATTTTCTCCTTAGATAACCTCAAAATATTCAATTTTAAGTTAAAAGTTAATGTCTGTGTAATAAATTAAGAAGGAAAGCCTATAGTGCCTGTACTTTGAATTGAAATATTAAAGTTAAATTTTATCTTATTCTGGGGGGGGAAGTATTATTTTCTAGATGTTTCTTAACCCTAATTGCATGCTTCCTTGATAAATTACCTTTTGTTTTTAAAGACAAAATTTCTTACTATGTATGGATTAGGATCTGACAATATAAACCAGTAGAATGCTTTTTTGCATTCAGAAGGTGGCAGTGTCTACCCTTTAATAAAAGTCTACATTCTAGTTTCAATAAAGGAATGTTAGTATGTGCATGATTTCACTTCAGTGAGGCATAGCATGGCAAATATTAGACCATGAATTATAATCATCTCATTTTTATATGCATTTTAAAAAGTCTTGGTTGTTTGTGTAGGTAGAGAGAACCTTCAGGGGTGTGGTGTTTTAGCATAACTGGGGTCTTGGTTTTTTTTAATCAGGTTTTCCCTTATTGCTTTTATTTCTCCCCTTAAACTATATTGTCTTTCCTACCAATTTCTCCTGCCCTTATCTTGGAAGGATATTGCTGCCTACCGGGCTAAAGGAAAGCCTGATGCTGCCAAAAAGGGAGTTGTCAAGGCTGAAAAAAGCAAGAAAAAGAAGGAAGAGGAAGAAGACGAGGAAGATGATGATGAGGAAGAGGAGGAGGAAGATGAAGAAGACGAAGAAGAAGATGATGATGATGAATAAGTTGATTCTAGCGCAGGTTTTTTTTCTTGTCTATAAAGCATTTAACCCCCCTGTACACAACTCACTCCTTTTAAAGAAAAAAATTGAAATGTAAGGCTGTGTAAGATTTGTTTTTAAACTGTACAGTGTCTTTTTTTGTATAGTTAACACACTACCGAATGTGTCTTTAGATAGCCCTGTCCTGGTGGTATTTTCAATAGCCACTAACCTTGCCTGGTACAGTATGGGGGTTGTAAATTGGCATGGAAATTTAAAGCAGGTTCTTGTTGGTGCACAGCACAAATTAGTTATATATGGGGATGGTAGGTTTTTCATCTTCAGTTGTCTCTGATGCAGCTTATACGAAATAATTGTTGTTCTGTTAACTGAATACCACTCTGTAATTGCAAAAAAAAAAAAAGTTGCAGCTGTTTTGTTGACATTCTGAATGCTTCTAAGTAAATACAATTTTTTTTATTAGTATTGTTGTCCTTTTCATAGGTCTGACATTTTTCTTGAGGGGAAGCTAGTCTTGCTTTTGCCCATTTTGGATCATATAATTACAGTGTTTTATCTTTTCATATAGTTAGCTGATAAAAAGCTTTTGTCTACACACCCTGCAGAATTGTGGTGAGGGTAATGAGAATTGAATTGAGATAGTTTTCATCCATAACAAACTCAAAGTATTGGTCAGTTGATAATTTTCACATAGCCCAGTTACATTTACCAAGTAAAAAGTAACTGCTATTCACAGCATGGGATTATTAGAATCAAACATTTGAAAGTCTGTCCTTGAAGGACTAATAGAAAAGTATGTTCTAATCTTTACATGAGGACTTGACATTTTTTAAACTTCCATTACCATGTAATGGCAGTTATGTTTGCAGTTCCCACATTAAAGAAGGCCTGAGAATGTACCCCCCAAAAGCGTGAGCTTAAAATACAAGACTGTGGTATGAAGTTTTTTGTTGACATTAGTCCTGGCAAAGGCTCTGAAGAAAAAAAAAAAAGTGCTGACTGTAAATGTCTTATTTATCTAAATATGGATTGCTTAGGAAACCTGAGACTCCATTAAAAGTATTTTTAATTAATTGGACCAACCTTTAAAATTGTATACCACATTTGAGATTGAATATATTTTCCAAATTATAGTTTGCCCCTTTATAAAATCAAATAGACATGAGGGAAATTAACTTTGTATCACAGATTTGATTTTTATAAGACTCAAAACTCATTAGGGTCATGTTTATCCACTTAGCTATTTAGAAAACAATTTGGCAGTTTTGTGGTTTTTGACATTCTCTTAACGGTGCCAGTGTTTTAAAATAGCGTTCTTGTAATTTTACACGCTTTTGTGATGGAGTGCTGTTTTGTTATATAATTTTGACGGATATTTTCATTTGCATTTGTTTATGTAATTTCAGGAGGAATACTGAACATCTAAGTCCTGGATGATGCTAATAAACTAATAATTGCAGAGGTTTTAAATATTAGTTAAATGGCTTTCACTTGAGATTTTAATCTTGTTTCCAATAACGGCAACACTACGGACTGGCAGAACTTTCCTTTAAAAATATTTGATGCTTATAAATAGGTTAATGGGCTGATGAAAAACCAGATTTTTGTCACATTCAAAGTCGTCTCAGGATACTAAATATATAAATGAGGAAAAACTAAATTTACTCTCAGAATGTTGGGCTAAGCAAGTTAGTTTTTAAAAACAAGGATAGTGATAAATCTAAGCCAAATGAGAACCTCAAATAGAAAGGTTGCCATTGTGTTCAAATCATCAAAATTTTTTAGAAGGAACCAAGTCCGTGTCCTCTGATTTATATCCTATGGCGATAGAATCAATTTTTTATATCCTATGGTAGGGGTGTCGAACTCAGAGAAGGGGCCAAAACCTAAAATCCAGCCTAAATAGCGGGCCGAATGGTTTACTGAACAGTCAAACTGTCATTGTGATGGAAACGCAGCGGAGTGCAGTGATGACAGCGCGGTTCGGGCCACATTGCAAGGCCTGGTGGGACGGATTTGGCCCGCGGGCCTTGTGTTTGACACATGTTTCCTATGGCTATAGAATCAATTTCAAGATCAGTTGTCAACAACTCTAATCCCTTTAAAAGTGAATACATCCTCAAGGAAACGTAATTTTAGTGGGTGTGTTATGAAAACTAAGATGTTGAGAATCAAGTTTGGGGGCTGGTAGGTTTGGCCTCATCTTGGGAGAAAAATAGATAAAAATCCTCTTCAAACTGGAAATTGTTACTGCTTCAACAGTAACCCTAGAACTTGGATGTCCAAAACTCAAATGAAGGTGGGAGACAAGGTATAGGAACTTAATGTTTAGAAATGGTTTAAGCACTATGGAATATAAAGATAATCAGAAAATGATTAAACCATATAAATTTTAGTATTAGATTTTCTGCATTTTAAAAATCAGTATAATTGGAAATTAAACCTAATATCCAGTTTCCTAACTGTATAAAGATTGAGAATTATTGCTGGGTTATAATCTGATGATCTAGCAAGATACTGATTGGCCATATCCATTTCTAAGAGTTAAATTAGAAAAATCTTTTCTGAGTCCTGTACATCATGGGTAAGAAGTGTGCTATAAGTAGTGATTAGACAAATATTTTCCTCATTGCCTAAGGAATTCTATATATTGCTCAGGTGTTAGCATAGTATATAGCTATATAGGAAACTACAAAAAAAGATTTTTAAATGAAAATTGTGGCCAATTTTTTTGGCATCACATTATGATGAAGGCTTAAATCTAATAAAGATCTGAAAGGGCCTGAAGTAGCTCATTTTCAGTATCAGCCAGGTACTCTTCACATAGGATTGTATCACTGCAAGTTTGCAGATAAGTCTTAAATCTTGGAATTAACTTGCCCAAGTGCGAACCAGTGGCTATTTTTTTTTTAAGGACTGTGGTAAATTATTTAAAATGTGTGGGTGTGTGTTTTAATATTTGTTTTCTGTCATTTTCAAATGGCTCTTGAAATTCTTTTAAAACTACATCAAAGCCAGAAAACAATTTGGATGTCTATGGAACAAAAGATACAAGCTGGTTTTCTTGTCCTCTTCCAAGCAAAGAGATGAACAGCAGTGCTAACCCTGCCATAACTTGGGAAATTCCCTGGGTCTGAGCCAAGTTGCTCTCTGGAGTAATAAGGCAAAGTATTACACTAGAACTGCTTCAATTTAATGATACACCATGTCACAGAAAAACCACAGAACACCAGAGACAAGCATAACACCACACTCCAGGATATATAATGCCCATTTTTCCAGTGGGTTTTAATCTGAAGTGTGTCTACCAGGAGGAATGTAATCACGTGCCTTTAGGCATGTCCATTGGTTAGATCCTATATAGTTGAATATATTGGTCACCAACTAAAAAGGTATATGGGGGTTGAGATCCTTGTAAATTATGAGGTACTTATTTTTAGGCACACGATTCAGACATAAGTGACTTTCCATAGTATGATGCCCTATATCGATCTGATGGTTATTCACATTTCCTATTTTTTTGCTATTTCTAACTATTGCAGTGAGCTGTGCATTTCTCTTAGGCACATGCAAGTTTTTAGAAACATCAGAGTAGAATTGCTTAGTCAAAAAACTTGCATTTACAACTTTGTCAGAAACAAGTTGTCCCCCCAAAAGCTATACTTAACTGAAATATATTAATAATGCTTTTTATGGTAGATTTTTACTGGTTATTCTTTGTCTCCAACTATCTATTTTTTTTTAAATGTGAAATTAAAATACGGAAATATTGTCATTTGCTCAGAACCACCTGAACACAAGAAGACAGAATCAGAACTTGAAAGACCCTTGAATTGGCAATTGATTTAGCTACTGAACAAATTATTTCTCTAAAAAGTGACTGCAATAACTCCATTAAGTAAGCTATTGTGTGAAAATGAACTTCCCGGAGCATCACATATAATAGTTTTATCTGGGGAGGACTTTTTCTAGCAGAGACCAACAATCTTGATAGAAGTTGCAAACAACAGGTTTGGAAAAGCAGTGAGTTTGGCTACAAATTGTAGTTGAGGACTGTGTGGGCCAGGTCCTGGGCACTAGGTGATGGGTTACTTGGAAAAGTGGGATGGATACTGAGGACCTGCCTTAAATAGGATAAAGTAAACCCCTGTTTCACCTCCTGGCTGGAGACAGTATTTAGGTGTGTGACACACGATAATGCATTTATAAACTTCGTTCCTTAGAGTTACATAGAATCTGTAATTACAGGCTTCACCATATTTTCATTCCTTGGATTTCAATTACAGATCATCTAATAAAATGTCCTGAACATAGCCAAGCAAGAGAATAACAGGTCCTAAAACACAATGAGAACCTATTGGGTGACAGTACTCCTACAGAAAAACAGGAAGCTCAGGCATCACATCCTCACGGTGTGAAGAGAGTGTGGAGCTACTCCCCAAAGACATGGCAGCTCCCGCCCCAACCTGAATTTTAGGTCTTGATGCACATCTCAAGTTGGGCAGCCTGGGACGTGGGTGTGGTGACTGGGCTATGCACACAAGGGCTGCGAAGCAGGGAGGCTGACCCTGAACCTCTTTACAAAAGGAACAAACGCTGCTCCTGCTTTGGGGGCCAGTCAGGCTCAGTACGTCCAGCCTGTGGTTTATACAGAGTAGGGGACAGAAGCCTACAGACTCTGAAGTTTGCTTAAGGGTCAAAAGCTGCATCAAAACAATTTAGCAATGTTAGGCTCACAGGCACAAAAAAGTGTGAGTTCTTTTTAAGGATGATAAGGGGTGGGAAGGCTTCCTCCCAGCCCCTTACTTTCATTCTTGGGTTCTGGTGCCATGACTACAGTTGAAATGTGAGCAGGGTAGCACACTGCCATCACTGATTTCTCTCCAGCTTTCCTCCTATTAACTTGGACTCAGGACACTTCCAGACAAAACAAGATGAAAATACTGCCAATCTTGCAGATTCTAAAGAGCTGCAAAGCAACAGAGATATGTGCTGCTTCATGTCCTTCGAATAGCTCTGAGAACCTCCAGAGGTGCAAGGAAGGATTGTGATCCATTACATGGTACAATAACAAAAAACTACCTTATTTTGAATGAAGTTCGCACTGATTGAAAGAAAAAGAAAATAAAAATTTACAATTCTAGTCAGAAGACTTAAAATACTATGTGCCCTTCAGTTTTATATATATTTGTATATCATCCTATATAATAAAAGCCTAATATGCAAATTGATCAGACATTGAAATGACCAGCTGAACCACCAGTCACTATGATGCGCACTGACTACCAGGGGGCAGACACTCAATGCAGGAGCTGTCCCCAGCCCGCAGACCCCAGGCCAGCCAAGGTGGGTGCGAGCGCTCCCCCTCCCCTCTGCCAATTGCCCCGCTGTCACCCCCCAGAAAGAGATGACCAGCAGCAGCAGCAGCAGTGGGGGGGTGGGGCTGGCAAGCAGGTAGCACCAGGCCAGCCAAGGCGGGTGCCAGCAGGGGCCCACCAGCCACCCCACAAATTGACCCTGATCACTGGCCAGGCCTAAGGACCCTACCCATGCACGAATTTTGTGCACTGGGCTTCTAGTAAATATATAAAATATCTATTTAATTAATTTAATAAATACATGTAACATTTTAAAACAGGTGAAATTTACATAAAATTAACCATGGTAAAATGACAATTCAGTGGCATTCAGTGTATTTACAGTGTTCTGCAACCACCACCTTTATTTTTCAAACATTTCCATCACCTCAAAGGCAATCCCATACTCATTAATTACCTCTCCCCCTTAGCCCTTGGCAACAACTACCGTATTTTTTGGACCATAAGACACACTTTTTCCCCCCCAGAAGTGGGGGGAAAAAGTCCCTGCATCATGGTCCAAATATAGCCTACACATATACTTTAAAAAAAAAGTGTTTTTACTTGCCCGGCTCTGTGTGGTTTCTGTGTGCTTGCCCGGCTCTAAAATGGTTCTAAATGCTGCTGTTTACTTTACAGGGTTGATTACATGTGTTTATGACTGTGATGTTGGGTTTTAATGCACATAAAATATTTTAGGACACTATTTGTTTCAGAATCTTTTTTTCTTCATTTCCCTTCTCTAAAAA